GTGGCTACCCAACCTAACAAAAAGTGCTGTTTATGTCTAAGAAAAAGTCATTAATTTTGATTTTGTGATGATTTTAACCACTGATGCTTCTAATACATAACCGCATAGGTGCGGTTTTATCCCAAGAGGGAAAACCAATAACATTTATTTTAAAACACTAAATTCAATTGAACAAAATTATGCAACTAATGAGAAAGTATTATTCGCCAAAGTGTGGGCATGAAAAACATTACGTCATTACCTTTATTCAGTAAAAGATTGAGAAAGTCATACTGGTCATCAAAATTTTACATTTGCAATAGAGCTGCAAAACAATCGATGGGACTATTTTTCGATATTTTTTTCGTTTCACTATCGATAGTTTATTTTGATCGATGGTTTTTATGCCTTAGTATTCATAAAATTGCCAAATTTTACTTAATATAGCTACAGGAGGATATAGTCTGAAAATACCATGAAATTCAATTTTGGATACCATGGCAGCCTTAAAATCATTATTTTTTTCATTCTTGGCTTGGTTGCGCGTATTGAGGTATTAGTTTTAACGCAAACGCTACTGTGCAAACTTCATCTAGCAGCACTCTTACCCTTTCTTTTATAATTAAACATATTTTCGGTCTATATATTGTAAAAGTTTGAATGATCTGAAAACCTATGTGAAAACATATGATGGGTTTGTATTGTCTAATTTGTTGATAGAGCTATTAAAGCTCTTTTTGGTTACGAAAACCGCACCATCACAAAAATGGCCACTATTATTTTGAACGCACGGCTCAAAATAGAAGGTTTCGTTCCTCTACAATAGCTGATGTTGCAGCAAAAACGTTAGAAGATGAAATAGCTGGTATGAATAAAACCCAATCAGTACCTCAGTATATAGAACAGACTTCAACGTCCAACACGAAATCGTAACCACTTATTCAACCTATTTTGAGTTTCCTCAATAAAAAATTTAGGAGAAGATTAAATCAAACAGAATGGATGCAACCATAAAATACTCTATGGAACTGTTTTTTAAGTATAAATTTATTGATCTCATTTTAAATAAATTTATAAAAAATTTATCTTTTTCTACCTTGTCAGCTCTCAGAGAAATATATATAATAACATGAATACGTCTTTGATGCAGCTTTATTAAGTTTAATTTGTTTTATAAATAATTCTAATGACTTTTTCATAAAAATGAAGTGTACAAAGTCATAGTCTCTCAATTTCATCCCTATTCACATCCCCTCACAATAGTCACCACCCTAATCATTGTGAGGTCTTTGAATGTTGTGAGGTTTACCTTATGCTGGCGTTAATTCAAAAGCTCAAATGCTCACAATTTCCCCACAAATTTGTGACGTCTGAAAGCAACCCTCACAATGAAAAAACAGTTAAGTATGTTTTATTTATTTAAATATTTTTAAACAAATTTCTATATATTTTATTGAAATAGATTAGATTAACTTTTTTTAAGTTACTAAGTATGAATAAAAACGCATATATGTTTAAAGAATTTGGTCTAGATTTCATTTGTAAATATGTTTATGTTTAAATAATTCAGTTATTTTATTATATTATATATACATATGTATATGTAATATGTAATATTTGCTTTCTCAAAGATCTGGTTATTTCTTCACACAAAAATATGTAATCCTAATGGTTACAAGAGCACATACAATACGAGACAATACAAAACAATAGAAGTATAGTATGCATGCAATACACATTCATTTGACATTTAACAATACGAACGTATTTAGCTAGTTTACGAACTTGCATATAAACAAACAACTCGCATAACACACACACATGATGAAAATAATGAAATAAGAATATGCCTAAAAATAAATGAAATTATTATATTTACACCAAAGTTATTAAATTTGCGAAATTACTTCTTTTTATTACCTATCCATTTCTTTATTTTGCTTTGATTATTTCACCTCATGTGGTGACTTTTTAAGATTTTTTCTTACGAGGCTCAAGCAAGAATAACTTCACAAAATAAACATCACAAGAAATCTCACAAATAAGTTGTGAGATTTTCTCAGAATAGGGCCGCTAAACGAAGAAGTAGGCGGAAAACTATTCATAGTATCGACAGTATTTTTTATGTTACAGTATCATAACTAGAAAAGGTTTCGAAAAAAAATTATCATAATGAAGAAATCATATATGAAAAAATATATGGAGAAAGGAATAAGTTAAATCGTAAATATAAAAAAATAAATAGTAAGAGAAGATTTAGGAAATAAAGTTAAAGTACAAAATAGAAATAATATAATACATAGAGATAATATTAAAATTTAATCTATTTTATAGGCACTATGAAGATATACCATTCATTGATATTTTTATATATCACTACTATCACACCGAACATAATAGACTATACAAGGAAAATTATATACTTATTGAAGAAAAATATGCATTAATTTTTGAAGAATATCGTTCAATATATCATTTGACGAATTTATCATTATTTGAAAATGATATACAAAAATACAAAACTGATACCGAAATAGTACTAATTGATGACTCAAGTATGGATTCAGAAATATGCATAACAGAAACAGTGTTAAAACTATTAATGAATGTTAATAAAATAATAGAAAGAGGAGTAACCGAAATAGGAACAGTTTGGAAATGGATTTCAGGCACATCTGACCTTGACGATTTTATAAAAATAGCAAACAAATAAATTACTTAACAGAAAACAATAAAAAACTCACTAATATTTAATTTAATTACGGTATTAACACAAATAATAAATCAACTACAAGGCATCTCTAATAAAATGACTACTTTAATACAAGTATATAGGAACAATCTAATAATCACTGAACTTGAAAATGCAATACAAACTATTACACTAATTAAACTTGGAATTTTAAATCCACTTATTTCACATAAGTATATAATGAAGAAATAAAACAAATAATAAGCGAGTAAAGAATTAATGTAACAATAACAGATCTTATTTATAATTGCACAAAAAATTATAGGTAATTGTACAAAAATAAAAAAGCCAATAAGTCAATAAATATTGTAAAAGACGGTGCTATAATAGTATCCGGAAAAAACAATAGATGGGGTATACTTGATAAATTTTTTTGATAATGTAACTATAGACAGAAAAAAATATGAAAACTCCACTGGAAAAATTTTAAATTATTTTAGAGAAGAAAAGTTAAAGCCACTTTTTGCAAGAGAATATTAAAGAATATTAAAACAAAAATTGTTTGAAATCTAAACATTTTGAAACAGGAAATAAAAAGAAATCCTGCTTGGTGGTTACTTACTTTACTATTGTTAATAAGCATTATTGGGGATTTTATTAACAAATTAATTAATCATATTTTAATTAAAATAAAAAAGAAAGAGAAGAAATGTTAAAAAATTGTCAATTAAAATTAATCATCTTGAAAATATATATTCGAAGACGGAACGCTTCGTTTTAGAGGTGGGAGAGTTAACGCCACCAATAGCCCGTAGCAAATAACTATTATGTAAACAATAAATATATAATTGCACCATTAAGCGAATGTGTGAAATATTATATGTTGACGCCACCAATAGCCCATAGTGCTTAAACATTATATACATAAACAATAAATACATAATTTTACCATTATGCGAATGTGCCAACAAATATGTCATTAACACATTGGCAATTGGGAAGCGGCCATCAGTTAACATCTATGTATGTATGGTCCGCCTTACTTCCTAGAATTTAAGCTGAGATATTGTATCTAAACTTAAGTAACGCATTGTATAAAAGGAGAAGAAATAAAGAAGAAAACCTTGTTTACGTGCTCCAACGAAAAGTTAATTTGCACATATGAATGTACAGTATATCACAAAAATAAGTATGCAGCGTGTTTATCTGTTTTGTCATGCGAAAAAAAGCCTTAAAACTAATATTATTAACCAATTTTTTTATATTTTCCATTATTTCATATATTTATATGTCTCCAATAACAAAAAACCCAAACTTAAAGTAATAATTTTTCAAATTACAGAAAAGAATGTTCCAATAGCTTAAAATTACGTCACTAAAGTATGTAGGCACTAAAAATAAATTGCGAAAAAAAAGTTCTAACGGGTTTATTTTTGAGCTTTGATGGACGGTTAATATTTCGTTGGATGGCCTTTGGATTTTTTAATTGCACTCAACCTGGATGGCATGGACTTCACCAGGTGTTGGGTTACTGAAGGTGGAATCTTGCTCCATTCTTCGATTAAGGAAGCTTTCAAAGATTCTTTGCTGGTTATTTGGAGTCTTCTGATTTTTCTTTCTAAATAATCCCAGAAATGTTCGATAGGGTTGACATCAG